CGTCACCACATCCATGAACTTTCTCCGAGGTCTTCCTCTTTTCCTCCTTTCTAGTTGCTCCATATTGCACATTCTTTGTCCATATATCAACTGTCCCTCCTCTGCGCATATCCAAACCATTTTAGCTTTGCCTCTCTAACGTTGTCTCCAAGCTGCTCAATCTGGGATGTCCCACTAATGTATTCATTTCTAATCTTGTCCATCTTTCACTCTTGCTTTCATTGTTCTGTCACAAATGGCGCTTGTCTCCACCCACTCCACCCTGTTCGCGCTCTCTTCTTCACCTCTCTTGTGCACCGTCTATTATTTTGGATGGTTGACCTCAGGTATTTAAACTCCTCCACCTTCACTATCTCGACTCCTTGTAACTTCACTCTTACACCTTTCTCCCTCTCATTCACATGTTTTCTGACTTTCATGCCTCATTTCTCCAGAGCATACCTCCACCTCTGCAGCCTTGCAGTTGGGGTGTGTGCAAAGCAAGCTGGGGTGCCCTTTGCTTCTGCCCTTGAAAACACTCTTGCTCTGCTCTCCTGATGAAGGAGAGAGTTTCACCTTCCTTCTCCCCGCCTCCTTCTGAAGAACTGTAGCTCCTATCATCCCCTTCTTCCTCCTCTTCTTCTAGCTGGTGTGTGGGAGGTGGCTGATGGGAATACTGGGGGATATGGGGGAATTTGATGGGCTCCTTTGTTCCTGTTGCCAGGCTGCACGTTTTGGGAGGGTGGTAATAGATCTGGTGGTCTGGGGAGGTGCTGGTGGTGTCAGGGGTGAGAGACCGGGAGCAAACGCTGCTGTCATTCTCCACAGCGGGCAGCAAGTAAAGCTCCGGCTGCGTGGCCTGCTGACAGGTGACAACAACGTGTTACTGGAACCAACTCACTACATAAAGAGAAGCATCATCCGATTAAATGTTTAGATTTGAGTATCCAACACTGACTCTACGTACATAGGGTGGGGCGAACACTTTCACTTTCAGGTCTTGCTCCTGTTTGCTTTTGACCTGCAGCAGACAAGAATTTGGAAGCTGTAAAAAGCACAGCAGTAAAAAGTCTTGCCCGCACACACGTTTTACACCCTTTGCTCTGAGCAGTAAACTGTCTGTGCCGTTTCTCTCTATTGTGTGCCTGGTGAAATACAATCAGCTCTACAAAGGAGCACTAAACAGCCAGCTGCACTCACCAGCGCCAGACTGCGCCCCACACATTTAAGGAAGGAGAATTTGTTGACGCTCCTCCGTGCACCAAGGAGAGCGCCCAGCTCACTCCTAAGAGTTTTCAGGGTAACATCAGGATAAACCCTAAGGTCACAGAAAAGGAGAGGTGGTGTCCACGTTAAAAAAAGAATGATAGTCAGGATTGTTCAAGAAAAAAGCTGCATGTCACCTATCGAGTGCTCAAATAAATTTGACTTATCAAGTTCAAAAAGCAAAATGACACGTTCAGCAACTGTAATACTGTCATTTTTCAACTGAGACTTGGAGAAATTGTATCATTGCAACACTTTTAAAGCACTGAACAATGTTAAAGCAGTCTGACATTGTTATCAGACAATTACGTTACTGAATTTCCTAAGAACAAAGCCTAAGTAATACAACATATCTCAGTATCTTTTATGTCCAGAAGTGTTAAACAATCCTTATCTTGAGTTTTCTATATTGAAACAAACATTTGCGGCAGTTTCACCTGATGAAGCCGGCTGATACGAAGCTCTCTGTGGCTTCAGCAGGGACTTTATTGAGCTTCACATTCCACTGGTCAGCTGGCACAAACAGCACATGGAGCTCCAGAAGCTGCACACGAATGCAAACATGTTAACACGGTCGGTTTGCATCATCAGGCATGTGTCTGCTTGCTTGAAAAAAATAATTTTGTCATTTTATTTCATCCTTAAAAAGAAAAAAGAAAGAAAAGAAAATACCTTGCAGCTGTGAGGTCTCCTGTCCTCTGTATATCTCGCTGACGCGAAAGACAGCTCCATCAGAGAAGGAACAGAAACACTGGAAGATTTCTGCTCTTGTGCTCGGAAGGCGTGCACTGCTAAGTTCCCGTCTGTAGTAATCAAACACCCTCAGTTGTCCAGTGAAGTTTCTTTTACGAGAGTGCCAGCAGTGGTTGCTCTGCTGCGCATCATAGCTGCAGAGAAAAAACACATGAAGCCGCTCATCTGCGATGACCACTACGGGCGCAATTTCTTCCATATTTACTCT